CTCATATTAAGTTTGTTTGTTTGTTTGCTGTGATATTGAAGGTGTGGAGCTGCCTTTGTAGGTCATCTTCGTTATCAGCAATTAGTACTGCATCATCGGCATAGCATAGTATCGTGATTTTATGCGCTCCCATGTGGTATCCGTGTCGTTTTCTTACTTCGTGAATTATTTGATTCATCACCATATTGAATAACAATGAGCTGAGCGAGTCTCCTTGGCGGATTTCTCCTTGTAGTTCTATGCGTTCTGTTTCTCCTGTTGGCATTATAACTCTAGTCTTGTTGTTCTTATTAATTTCATTAATTGTCCTTATTATCTGATAGTCTATTTGTCCAGCTTGTAATAAATTTAAGATGTCATTTTGCTTCACCCTGTCAAAAGCACTTTTTAAATCTACAAAGCACATGTATGCTGGTTTTTCATATTCAATAGACTTCTCTATTACTTGTCTGATAATAAAAATTGCGCCTATTGTGCTGCGGTTCTTCCGGAAGCCTTGTTGTTGATCTGTCATGTTCGCTTTTTCCTCGATTTTATCTTTTATGACTGCCGTTAACAATTTTAATGTACTATTCATGCCTCTATAATTCTCAGAATTTCTCGAGTCTACCTTTTTAAGTATCGGTAGCAGGAGACTTTCCTTCCATTCCACTGGTACTACTCCGGTATTTATTATATCGACGAATAATTTTAGAAGCCATTTGCGTAGTGTTGTTCCTCCATATTTTATATTTTAGCAGTTCCTTGTTTACCTTGTTAGGACCAGGTGCTTTTCTGTTTTTTAACTTTTTTATTTGTTCTTGTAGCTCTTCTTCTGATATTAGTACTCTATCGTGGGTTTCGTTAATGATTATTTCTCTGATCTCTTCTTCCCTTTCTCCATATAATTTGAAATGCTCAGTCCATCTTCCACACCTTTTTCTGGGATCCATAGAGATCGTATTCCATATCTTTGGTAAATTTCTCCCAGTGTTTTTTTTTGATGCTATCTATTTCTTGGTATTCCTGATTCTCACGTAGTCTTCTCGTGCCTCCGGTGTCTTCACTCCTTTGTATGTTTGGAAAGCTTGTTTCTTTTCATTTGCTAGTGTCACCCTTTTGTTGTACCATGGAGTTTTGTATTCCCGTTTATTTCTGTTAACTTTTCTTTTACCTAAAGCTTCTTCCGCTGCTTGTAGGATACATTTTTTAATAATTTTCCAGGTTTCTTCTATATTCTTTTTAGTCTCTAGGTTATGGCTATTTAGCTTTTCTGTTAGTCTGTTTCTATACAAGTTTTGTGTCCCTTCTTCTTCTAGGCTTTCTATGTTTAACTTTTCTTCTACTTTTGTATTTTGCTTGTCTTGTGTGGTGATTGCTATATTTATTTTCCTAGTACCAGGCGATGGTCGGATCCTACATTAGCGGAAGATAGAGTGCGTACATCTATTATATTCTTGGGGTGTATTTCTCGGTTTGTTATAATGTAGTCAATCATAGAGTTACCTCTTGTATCTGACCAGGTGGTCTTATGTTGTATTGGGTGGTCAAAGTATGTGTTGTTAATTCGGAGGTTATTCATTAAACAAAGTTCTAGAAGTCTTCCTTCGTTCTCGTTGAGCGTTTCTTCGTTAAATCTGTGTATAACTCCAGCCACAGGTATATTGCCTACTCCGGCGTTTAGGTCGCCAAGAATTATTGATTTACTATCGGCTATTGTGGTATCCAGTAGATCTTGGAGCTCTCCATAAAAAGCATCTTTATCTTCCTTGTTTTTGTTGTTATCCGGTGCATATACGGGATAATATTAAGTATCGTCTGGTGAAGTTTAAGCAAACCAGAATCATGTGTTCGTTGATGCATCTTTTTTCTTGGATATTGTTACTACATTTATTGATCATTAAGAGGCCTACTCCTTTTTGAGTTCGTTTGCTTTTATCTACTCCGCTGTACAGAAATATAAATTTGTTTCTATTAGCACTTCCTTTCCCTTTCTTATTTGTTTCGTTCGGGGCACATATATCAATTTTATGGAGCTAAAATTCCTGCACAACTTCATGTTCCTGTTTGTTCCACGATGCGATGTTCCAAGTGCCAATTCGTAGATTATTTATTCGTATATTGTTTAAATTGGGCATTAACATTTTTATATAATTTCCGTTGAAATTATTAATTTTTAATGAAAATGTGAAATTTTATACATAAATTATTTATGTTTTTGTTCTAGACTATGGCTTCTCGATATGAACGGGAGCAGGCGAGGCTTCGAGCTTTATAGGACGATTCTCAAGACGATTATGTAGTAATTGGATCTGCAAGCAAGAACAAATCAGACAATGAAGACAACAGTAGCCACAACTCTGACAGCGAGGAAGATGCTATTCATTTGCAGCAAGGACAGGAGAGTCAAAAGAAACATTACGTAGGTAAGGATGGCACTACATGGTCTTCAACATGCTTTCCTATAAATGTAAGAACACGCTCAGTAAATATCATTACTCATTTACCAGGTGTAAAACGAAATGCAAAAATGGCGAAAACTCTCGTGGAATGTTTCAATTTACTTTTTACTCCTAGTATGATGGATGATGTCGTAACTTTGACTTATATAAAAATAAGAAGAAATCCACTTGCTACGATGAAAACCAGCAGTATGCAGTTCGTGAAACCAATGCAACTGAAATAAGAGCATTGTTTGGACTATTGTACTTGACTGGGGTGTTCAAGTCTGCTGGGCTCAATTTAGAAGATCTTTGGTCTACCGATAGAACCGGAATAAGCTTATTTAGAAAGACAATGTCTTTACAACGATTTATTTTTTTACAGTCTTGTCTACGTTTTGACAATATAGAAAATCGAGAAGAAAGAAAAAAACTCGATAAAATGACTGCAATTAGAGCAATTTTCGAAAAATTTGTGCAAAATCGTCAAGACGTCTATACGCCAAGCGAATACCTTACTATTGATAAAAAGCTGGAGGCATTTAGAGACCGCTGTGGTTTTTGCCAGTATATGTCGAAAAAGCCTGCACGATACGGATTAAAGATATTCGCTCTCGTTGATGCAAAATCATATTATGTTTTGAATTTAGAACTATACGTGAGATTGCAGCCAGGGGGACCCTTCCAATTGAGCAGTAAACCTAGCGACGTAGTTCTCCGACTTGTAACTCCGATATCTGGAACCAAACTAAATGTAATATTCGATAAATGGTTCACAAGTTATGAGCTGATGCTGAAGCTTTTAAAAGTATAACGTTAGTTTCAAATGTACCAAAAAAAGAAAAGTAGTTATTCTAATGTCAACTTTACACCACACTCCTGAGAAATAGAAACCAGAAATAATTTCTTTTTATAACGCTACAAAATGTGGGTTAGATGTGGTAGATGAATTGTCGGCTTCATATGATGTTTCACGTAATAGCAAAAGGTGCCCATTACAATTTTTAATACGATACTCAACTGTGCAGGTATAAATGCTAGAGTAATTTATCAACAAAATACTGGCGATTTTCAGTCAAAACGAAGGGAATTTTTGAAATTATTAGCAATACAGTTACTAACAGAATACAGTTACTAACTTAAGGCTTCCGCGAAATTCACAAGTCCATCTTGAAGGAACTGTATCAAATGATGAAGTGCAATCAGGTAAACGAATGAAAGTAGCCATAAGATCATAAGATGTAATGTTTGCCCGAGAAAAAATGACAGAAAGACCTTTTATAATTGTGTGATTTGTAAAAAAGTTATATGTTTAGAGCATTGCGATTCTTGCTATTTAGCTAAAAAAAAAAAAAAAAAATTAAAATGTATTCTGTATGTTATGGTTTTTCCAAACATTCATTTATTTTTACTAGTTCTCTGATCTTTTTTTATAATCAAGAAAAAATGAGTGACGTTTTTTTATGCTACAAAGTGAGACCTTGTTGGAATATTCAAGTATTTAGTTTGCAATTTGTTTCTAAACAATAGTTTCTTTTAATTTAAGTTTATTATATGTTGCAATATTAGTCACAATATAAGTTTTCTAAAAATGTGTTATTTTTATTTCAATTTTTTTAATTTGGGGTATCTGATACCCCACCACACAGGTTTTTACATTTTAGTGTTCCACACAGGCGCCCGGTTACTATTTCAAAAAGGTTTGATATTTCATTTCGACATATGACAGTCAGTATTAACTTTTTCGGACAATTGGTATATAACCATAAATTTAAATTGTTTTGTTTAAAGGTTAACCTTAATGTAAGCTCTGTTGAAAAATCTAGATATTTTCATTTTAATAATAATTTTATTCCTATAAGTTTCCCCAACGTCTGGAGCTTGTTGTAAATCGTTACAAATAGCGCGATTATAAGTTTCGTTGATAAATTTTGTTAATATTATTTGTAATAACTATTGATGTGATGTAATAATAAGTATATAATGTTTTTCTCTAAACCAGGAATTGTAGAATTATCTCCTTTTAAAATATATTCACCCTTTAATATTTTTTGGGAAAGAAAAGCCTTTCTTTCCATACAGCAAGGAGATTCTTTTAAACGGCGTCCAAATTCAAATAGTTTAGGAACCTTCTTTTGTTTGTTGTCCAGGAAATCTATGTATTTTCTTGATTTCTTTCTTTGTAGTTACCCCATCCAGTCCCTCCCTTATTCACTTACTTACGACACAGCTCTCCAACCAAATCAAGCGTGGCCATTCGCAAATGTTTGAATTGTTTGCTTACTCTATCTCCAGCCCAGTAATTGTCCAGTCCCCAGTTTCAACCTCTTATAAGTGATATCCAATGTGGTAGGCAAATTATACCGTTACATATATCCGAACCTATAGAACATCTAGAGGTGTTATGTGTGGTGGTCGAGGGGACCACCGAAAAAGCCATTGTTGACTATCCATCTATATTCAAATGCCTGATCTAAAGCAACATATGTCCATGAAAGAGTTAAAAATTATATATTTTTTGTTGATGTACTTTTACCTGATTAGCTAATTAACGTGAAGCCGTGGAATAAAATTCATTTGTACAAAAAGTATTTTAATAAATAATATCAGTACATGTACAACATATATTATTCTACAATAATAACAAATGATTGACTTACAAAATTTAAAAAAATATTTCCACCAGTGTAATTAACTATATGTTGAATTTATTAAAACAAATTCGGAAAACTTCTTAGCAACAGCTGCTACATGAAGAATATTTTGTACAATATAGACATTTGCAATCGTTCTGGAACGGCTTTTTTTTAATAGCTGTTTACCCTTTTTTTATATGTTATCCATAGTGACATTCTATCCATTTAGGGGATATATACATATGTCGAAGAAAACGGGGCGTTTTTGCATACACTTTTTTTGGTGTACTATGTTTTAAGTCAATGCCTCTGTGAGTCAATCGTCTCTTTTAAAAAAGGTACTCCTACGTTCCTAAGAAAAGACATATGGATATGGAATTGATACCCACCACCTCTTCATAGATTTTAAAAGCGCTTATGACAATAAAGACAGAAGCGCACTTTATATTGCCATGGCAGACCTAGATATTCCGTCGCATCTAATAACATTGGTAAAGGCAAGTCTTTCGAAAGTTGAGTGCAAAGTTAAGGTACAAAACAGAGTGTCAAGGTCTTTTCAAATAAATACTAGATTACGCCAGGGAGACAGCCTATCCTGCCTATTGTTTAACATCGCACTAGATAGAGCCATAGAAAAATTGGGCATAACAACCAGAGGTATGATCATCAATAGAAGTGTACAGATATTGGTCTACGCAGATGACATTGACATAGTTACACGAACAAAAAGAGACCTGATACAGGCTTTTGAAACATTAGAAAAAGCTGCGAAGATAATGGGACTGCAGGTCAACGTATTCAAAATAAAATATATGAAGGTCGCGAACAGCACACAAATAGCGGCACCACAAGACTGTCTGGTGACAGAATCACACACATTCGAAGGTCTCTCGGAGTTTATATATCTTGGAACACAACTAAATAACAGCAACCTAGTAAGCGTAGAAATTAAGAGAAGAATATACATAGCAAACAGAGCTTACTTTGAACTAAAGCAGTTCTTAACATCACACATAATTAGCAAAAAAACCAAGATACTAATATATGAAACTGTTATTAAACCTGTCGTGAAATACGCGTCAGCGACATGGACTATGGTAAAAAGCGACGAAGAACTTTTAGGCCGCTTTGAAAGAAGAATACTTACGCACATATACGGATGAGTACAAGAAAGCGGGATATGATGCAGGCGCTACAATTTTGAGTTATATCAATGGCATGAAAAATGCAACATCGTCCGGTCTATTAAAATAATAGACCAAGGTGGCTAGGACACCTTGAAAGAATGGACACTGGAAACCCCCAAATACAGATATTATATCAAGACCCAATAGGAACCAGAAGAGAGGTAGGCCAAAATCTAGATTTAAAACTCAAGTCGAAGATGACTTGAGGAATCCAGTGGTCAGAAATTGGAAAGTCAGGGCGAAACATAGCGGGGAATGGAGAATAATTCTTGAACATGCTAAGACCCAGCCAGGGTTGTAAAGCCAAAGATGATGATGATGATGATGACTGCTATGCTCCACCGTATAACAAAAAATGTGTTGGTCCCATCGCATCAACGCAGCCCAGTCATTTACAATAATGCTTATGTTTACTATTGATTCATCGCAATAAACCTAACCTAACGTAAACAGAAAGTAAACGTTGTACAGTTGTCGTGCTGTTTAAATTGCTGTAAGTATTACATAATATCATATCTTTGAATTTTTTTTTGCGAAACTCTTGTTTTTTTCTTTAAACTTCTAAATATTTAAAGTGATGTATGCTGGTAATAATGCTGTCAATCAGTTAATACTGTAGTTTTTAGAACTTTAAAACTAATCTTTCTTCGTCTTTCTTGATTTTTTAGTATCTCCTTTCACTAGATATTTTAACCACCTAAAAATAAAACGCATTATTTTAAACGGTTAGTACAATTAAACCTAGAGTTATGATTAATACTATTACAAGAATTAATATTAAACATAACAGTCTTCCGGGGTTGAAACGCGTCAATTATCGTTGCGCCGAGATTTCTACATCCTCTTTGCTGTCTTCTTCAGTGCTTTCAAAGCTTGTTGGTTTATAGAAGCGGATAGGGGCTAAGGTTCTGGAGTTTTCAAAATCAATATTGTGACTTGTGATTGTAATTTAGTAATTAATACCCTTGTCTGTAGATCAATACGCCTTTGCGATGATGCAAGTCGACCCGCTGAGCTTTCTAGTTTAAAACAAGCCCTCATTAAAAACGGTTACCGCGAAAATCATTCATACGAGCATCCACAGACATTAATTTCCCACTCAATCTCAACCCAAAGACTCACCATGAAAGCTTTTCTTGCTTACTAAAGATGTCGCTGATAAAATCTAGAAAATTTTTAAATCAAGAGCAATAAAGATAATATTTACCCCCAAACAAAAACTTTTATCTCTTGTCCAATCAATCAAAGACAACGTTCCAAATGAACAGCACAGAGTTTATGAAATTCCTTGTGCAGACTGCCACCGATCCTATATAGGCCAAACAAATCGTAGAATTTAAAAAATGATTTATAAATATTCCATTTCTGTTTGCGATTCCGACTCAATTTTAGCTCTAGCTCACAAAATTTATTTTGAAAACTCCAGAACCATAGCCCCCAAACGCCAATCAAAATCTTACTATCTTACTGTCTCCCGTCTTACTTACAGCCTAAAAAAGAACACATCAAAGAGGATGTCGAGAGACAATAACAAAAGTGCTTAGTGCAACTTCACCCGTCATGTCACAGCTGATTCGATCATAGCAAAAACAGGTGATTTTAGTTTTGTGTTTTAGAAGATTTTTCTACCAAAGTAGTTTTAGATTGTAACACAATATGTTGCTACAAATCAATATTAAAACGTTGACTTTTATAAAAAAAAATTAACTTTGTTTCATAAAGCTTTTTAAAGGCAGGGTCTACTTTGTTACACCACGAACATCACAAAGTAACCCATTGTATATTTACTAAAATATTAATACTAAAATATTTTTTAGATACAATTCCACGAATCTACAAGAGAAAAATTGGGAATCGCAACTGCGAAACTTATATAGAAGAAAAGTTATCAAAAGCAGAAGCTTTTAATAACATTGGAAAAAAAAAACGAATTACGCTTCGAGAAGCTGCTGAAAAATATAGTATTTATCGAAATACTATATTGCTTAAAATTAGATAGATACACGAAAAAACCTGGACAGTAAAAAATGTTTAAGGAACAAGAGGAAAGTGCGTTTACTTGTTCTTCTTCAACCTTAAGTAGTCTAACTTTGGACATAGGCCTCCCCCAAATCAATCCAGTGTCTTCTATTTTACGCCACTTGCTTCTATTTCTGTTTTCCGATCTTCTTAATATCATCCGCTCATCTCATTTGTGATCTTCCTCTGCTTCTCTTTCCTAACCATGGTCTCTATTGTTGTATTTCGTGGTTCCATCTCTTATCCTTCAGTATGGCATTGTGTCCTGCGAAGCTCCATTTTAATTTGGCAGCATGTTCTCCTGTGTCTTTTAATTGGGTTTTGCTTCTAATCCATTTGTTTGTTTTTTGTCTATAAGTCTCAATCTGTTCATTCATCTTTCCATCGCTCTTTGTGCTTTTACTATTTTATCCATATTAGACTTGGTGAGTGTCCACGTCTGTGAACCATAAGTGAGTATAGGGAGAATACACTGATCGTAAATTCAGTAGTTTTCAAATATTATTTTATTTTAGTGCTTTTTAAGATCCAATTTAGTTTTCCAAATTTTGTCCACGCAAACCTTATTTTTCTGGTAATTTCGGCAATTTGATTTTCTTTGTTAACTTTCATTATCCGTCCCAGGTAGATGTATTCGTTTACTGTTTCTAAATTGATGTCGTTCAACGTTATTTCTCTAATGTTCGGTGTCTTCATCATTATTTTTGTTTTTTCCAAGTTCATCTCAAGACCTACTTTTTCCGAAGCTTGAAATAGTTGCGTCATCATGGTCTGTAGTTCTTCGAAACTTGTAGCGAATATTACAATGTTATCAGCGTATTTTAAATGACTCCGTTTTCTTCCATTTACATTTATTCCTTTATCTTCCGAGTTAATGTCTTTGAACACGTCTTTCAGTCCAAGTGTGAATAGTTTTGGTGAGATAACATCTCCCTGGCGAACTCCTCTGTTGATTGGTATAGCTTTGTTTTTCGCATCTATTTGTATTTTCATTGTAGCTTTGCATTGTAGAAAGCTGAAATGAAATCTACAATGAAGTGTGTTTACAGTAGTAGTTTAAGAGGAACGCAGTATCCTGAACGTATGCGAAACTTATCTAAAGCATGTATTTGTATGTGGAAATGAAGAAGGTCGGTCAGCTCAAAAACTGGAACACCTGGACCGAATATGAGCTTCCAAACTCACGGTATAATAGAACAGCCTGAGGATGGTTTGATTATCTAGTTTTTGAGGACTGGTTTCTACAACTACTACTTCCAATATTAAACAAGAACGACAAAAAGGAATCCTAGGTGACAACGTTAGTTTAAATTTAAATCAACAAGTTATTTATGAATGTGAAGCTAATGATATTCATTTTATAGCATTATCACATAATACCACACATTTGCTCCAGGCACTAGACGTGGTTTTTTTACGCCCTATGATGAAGAAATGGTGAAAGACTGAATAAATGGTAGATAAATAGTCATTGTAGCATGAATGAAAATCAAGTAACCAAAAATTCTAAAATACAAACAAAAAAAAATTTTAAAATGCCTCATAAATATAGAGCAAGATTTGATGCTGAAATAGGCAACAAATGATTCGGGAATTATAAAGATATCTAAAGTAAAGTAACAGTCCATAGTTCAAAATAGATGGCTTTACACCTAAAACAGCAAAGAGAAAATTACAGCAGCTGGAAAGACGAGGCTTAATTTTTTCCATACCAAAAGGATTTTTGCAATGGACAAAATGACATTTAACATAAAATACTAGTAGTATGTGATAATATTTGTGCTCAACTCAGTACGTATTGTAATAAATGTTTTTTTGTATTTTACCTAGATACATAATATTTATTAGTCACGTAAATTGAAAAATCACTTAAAAATCTTACCTGACTAATCTTTTTAAAATCAAACAAAATGCAACGATTATCGTTAACAAAACAAATGCCAAGAATCCCATGACATCAAGCATATAGTATTTCCAAGCTGGCATTCCTATACCAGGACTGCGCAGATGCTTGGCGCCTTTATGCCTGATGACGTACTCGGTCCAATAGACTGCTCGCTCGAGACTAGGAATTTCTTCGTCCTTAAATATTTCCCCCATGGCTTCTGCAGTCTCTTTGTAACTGAAAATAAATAGAATATGTTTATACATACAAGAAATAATACTTGAATAGGTAGATATAATGTAAAAATATGGTGAATAATTCAAAAAACGCATCAAATAATGGGTTTACGTAAGTTTTATTTTACAAAAAACATATTCTCTATAAAAAGTTCTGCATGGATCAAAACCTCAAATATAACATTATTAGTTGTATACCACAGACTAAAGATCTTCCTGAGTATTATAAGTGCGTGAAAAGAAGGAACATGGTTGATTGGGTTTAGGTTCCAAATTGAAGACAATAGAAATGCTTTGTGTGAAAGAGCTAGTGTTCATCAAATAACAATCAAGTTTTTAAGAAACTATAAAATAAATTTAAAACGGAACACGTATCTTCTGTTCATTTAGATAAAACGTGAATTTTTTCTGATGGTGAATTAAAGCAGATTTGGCAGGACGAGAATGTAAAATCCATAAAACACACCGGTACTGAGGATTTATTGATGGGACGGATATTGTTTTCGTCATAATCAAAGTCGACTGGTAACCACGACAACATGAATACGGAGATGTTCAAAAAAGGGTTAAAAGAAAAATTGCTTCCCAGTTTACATGAACTATTTATTATAGTTTTGGATAATGCCCCATACCATTCGGTAATTTTAGTTAAGTAAACAACCAATAAATGCCTGGACGGTACATAAATTAAAAGAATGGTTAAAAAATGAAAATATTTCATATTCTCAGGATTTTTTCATGCTGGAATTACTACAGTTAGCCAAAAGGAACATTCTTCTTCTAGTGGCGTCTCCATTAATAAAGGTTGCCTATAACCATTGCAAAATCGTCTCTATCTTTTGCTTTTCTTAAGAGCGTCTGTATATTTAACCCGGTTCAGTCGCAAATGATTTTTAGCCAGGATATTTGTGGTCTGCCATGACCCCTTTTCCTTCGATTTTACCCTTAATAATCAGCTGCAACAACTCATACTTATCTACTAACAATGTTATACTTATATAACATTTTACCATCCGATATCGGATTTGCAGATTGAGCCTTTGGTTGCCCAGAAATTTCCTCATCTTCAAAAAGACTGCTCTTGATTGCTCTATTCTTGAGCGAATTTCTGATTTCGGATTAAGATCTTCCGTAATCCAGACTCCTAATTGTTTCATTTTGTCCACTTTCTTAATATCTTTATTTCTTATCTGGATCCTTGTAATGACTGCCCCTCTTACTGATAACCATGGTTTTTGTTTTCTTTATGATTATTGTTAAACCAAACTGTTCCCCAGTATCACAAATTGTGTTTAATAACGTCTGCAGGTCTGTCTCACTTTTAGCGATAATGTATCGAAATGACTATCGTCAGCATAACGGATGTTATTTATATTGTCATTATTTATCTTGATCCCTTCTGTACAGTTTTCAAGTGCTTGTGTGAATGGGCTCGCTAGCCCATTCTTATTACTAACTTCGTTTTTGTTGTTTCATCCCATGCCAGCCATGATCTAAAAGATATTACTAAGAAGTTTCGCCTCAGTTAAGAGGTCATATTCTGATTTTGTTTTTGTTTATTTTGCCTTTATCAAAAACTGGATAAGAATTATCCGAGTTTTTTCTTTTAAGAAGGGTCATTGTAGCGTTTTATATTTAATATAGTTTCTGTTTAAATTTTTGTAGTACGCCCCTGGTAGTTTATACCAAGAGATTCTTAAATGCGTAATAACGCTGGAAATATTTTTTTGTCTCTGTTACATTGTCAGGTTAAAATTAGGGTCGCTAGAATAATCAATAACTACGTGTTATTTTTACCCAATTTAAAAGTAAATATACATGAGTCCCCTAATATTCCGGTTGAAAAAAGTTGTTTTGTTCGTTTCGAGTTAGGATATTCAGGAGGATATCAAGGATAGGAGTTATCAAGGGGGATATTGTTTGTTTGAAGTTGGTAGGCAGAACAAGCTGCAAGACGAGAAAGGGGAAATGATTTGTGGCGTCGAATTTGTAGAATGTAACGCAGAGACGAGTCAGAGAAAAGATTTGAAACTAGGTAGACGTTTTTGCGGACTAAGAGTAAAACCAGATCAACCAAAAGATGTAGAATGTTGGGGCAATTTTGAATCAAAAAGTTGATTCAATTGTTTTTTTTGTGATGTCTTAAGACCAGTCAAAGTGATGATACTCTTTGCAATAGCAGTTTTGACAGAGAAGTCATTAGAAGATTTGTATAGATACCGGAAACTTTTGAAAAGTATTATATAGGATGTCCCCGTCGTCTGATTTGTTACTCCACCAAACCTGATTTGATCGTCGCAACAGGTTTAAAACCAGAGACGTAGCAAGTTTTTTCTTTTTAAAAATTAAGTGGCGAAATATGTGAAAAATAAGGTAAACATTAATATATTAATTTTTCCAAGTAAAATAGACATTTTTAATAATTGCTTTCATTAAAATAAAAGAATTTGTAAAAATTAAAGTTTTATATTATGTTATGAATAGTAGCTAAAAAATGTCATATTTTATTCTGAGTTAAAATGTTATGTTGACATATTACATTTGCTCTAATCCATTGTTGTTGTAAAACAATTCCAATTTGATTATTATATATAAAAGATATTTTATATATAAGGTTAAATTCTACAGTATTTTCATAAAAAGGATATCCATAAGTTTTTTGATAATCTAATTTGGCTATATTATAACCTAGGAACCATTTCAAAAAATTTTTGTAGCAATCTCTTTTGTAAACGAATAACACGTAAGTTTTTGTTAATTTGTATTATATTATAAATATAGTATGTTTCTTGTGTAATCTGTATTTTTGGTGACTGTTTGTTTGAGACAAAAATAAAGTTTGATTTGTTTTTAGAAAAGTCTCCTAATCCTTGTATATATTTTTGATTGTAGGGAAGAAGAATTTTTTCTTTCTCCCAGCAGTAATTTTCTTCAAAGCGGCGTTCAAATATAAATAGCTAGAGGTAAATTTGTCTGCCATATCTTGTTCGTTTTGATCCAGGAGATTTATGTAAGTATCCCTTTGTTTTCATTTAGTAAATCCCCAATCCGACCCAAATTTAGTTCAACTTATCCACGACCCAGCTCTCCAACAACCCTCTGAGTGCCGTACGCACTAGTTTCGATTATTTTGTTTGCCCAATCTTCTCTCCCATGTTTTTACCCTGAGGTAAGCAAAATAGTTAGTTACAATCTCACCAGATTTTAATATGTTGTTACATAGTATAGCTATTGCACTTAAATTGTCTTCCTATATAAGTTTAATATAATAAGTTTATAGCATGTTGGACTTTTTTTTTAATGGACAGAAAGAAAGAAGACAGAAAGAAATATATTGAGCCGTCTGCATTCGGAAACCTAATAGCCATTCGGGGTCGGAAGAGACAAGAGTTAGCCAAGAGAGGCTGATAGGAAAAAATAAAGATATTTTACTCAAGACAAGTTAAAAAAGAATAAAATGTGAAGGCCCTTATGATGAGCTAGATGCGTTTCATAAGCATATGTATTAAGTATTAATACACTTTGTGTTCCTGCTTATACATTGGGGTGTTGACTACAGACTGTATGGCTCGTCCAGCATGTCATAGCATGGGGGGGAGTGTGCGCTCCGGAGAATACAAAATTTGGCTGCCTTTTATACAAGAATATACAAATTTACTGCGAATTAAAAAAATTTAAAAACGGACAAAAAATCAAAAATACGCAATAAAGAATTGCGCAAAAATTGATTTATTAAGTTCGAGAGACGAGGGAGCCAGAGTTTTGGAGAATAACTTTTGTTATATCTCTTGTATATATGTGACAAGATTTTTTTAATGTTCTTTGTCAATAATATTTGATAATTGACTTTTTTATATTCAGGAATATAGCATTAAACTTTTTTTTAAAATAAAAGAGGTATAGGATATGATAGCAAAATAGAGGGCCGTAGAGGTGTAGGAAGAAAACAAGTTTCTTGGTTAAAAAACATTCGTGAATGGACTCAGATACCAAATGCGGGACAATTATTCCATATTGCAGAAGATCAAGAAACCTTCGCAATGGTGATCGCCAACGTCGGATGGCACGCGAAGAAGAAGAAGAATAGGATATGAATTTAGATCATTCTCCAATTCTTTTAACAATCAGTAAGGTAGCGATACAAAAGGAGTTATCTTCTAAGCTAGTTAACAGAAGGACAAATTGGGAAAAGTTTTAACAAGAACTGGGTGCAATGATTAACTTTTCTGTAACGTTAAAAATAATCAAATAACGTACTCCGAAATATAGCTATTTACAAGACAGATCCAAGAAGCAGCATGGAACAATAAACCAACTAACCTAACTTGAATACAAGAAAAAAATTACACAACAGAATTAAGAGATATAATCTCAGACAGTAGGAAGCTAAGACGAAGATGGCAACAAAGCAGATATCCTACTCAGAAAACAGAAATCAACAATGTAATGCAAAAATTTAGAAGAGAAATTACTATTTAAATGGGAATAGGCCACAATTAAAAGTTAAAGTAAGTTTATTGACGTTTTAATTTCCTCTTATGAAATCGTTCTCAAAATACCATTTTTGAGTTTATCGCATATTACGTATAATATAAATAAAATGGTTTTAGTATAGTGTAAATAAATTAGAGTGTATGAAGGATGTATATAAACTAAATTAATAAAGACTAACTAAAATAAAGTCTTGGAACATTTTAATAACAAATCGTAAAATCGTTAAAATACCATAAAAGCTGTTCCATATTAATTTTCAAACCTAATATACTTATCTATACCGTTTTTAGCTGCTCTTTTTATTTTGTTGTATGCATATATTTTAAATATCTCACCTTGGATTCGTTATAACTTCTTTAATAGCTGCTACTAAAATTTCTTTGGTTATGCTCCTTCTATCGACCTTAACGCCATATCCCTTTTTAACCATTTTATTAACATTTGTTATTTGATCTCCGAAAAATGGTATTCCTATTAGTGGAATACCATTGACGACAGATTCTTGCAGAGACTGAAGACCTCCTTGTGTTATAAACAATTTAATATTTGGATGTCCTGAAATAAAAAAAGTTTTCATTTACTTGTTATAGTGGACGAGCAGCAGAAGGTAGAAATAGAAAATTAAAGGGTGGAGTTGCAAACCAATAAGTTCGGAAGTGCGAACACTGTTTTCCTAATGACGCACAAATACTACCGGCATAATATGTTCAAATTAACTATGTTAGGTGGGACCATAGGATGGTATAATCCATTCTATGATAAAGGATTTTAAATCCATAAAATACATACAATTAAATACATAAAATTCCATCGTTCAACGTCAAAGCGCAGCGCCCAGCCTCGAGCCAGGTATCGGACCATGGACTTGGACCATAGTATTTCAGCTTAGTATTTTTTCGATTCTCGTCCCTAGTACTCTACGATCGACACTACGAAGATGCCGACCACCGAGCCTCGCTGCGACCATCGTATCGATGCCAGGTAAAATAAATTAATTTTATTTTAAATTCGAGCGTTCACTGCCAGTGCTATGCTCTAGGCAAGGATACGATGCGATGGTCTCCGTAATGAACGCACCCTTAGAAACTGTAAGAAATGCCTTCAGTGAAAAACATGGCATATTCAACCAGCAGGAAAAATGCTACTATAGAAAAGCCTTGTGCAAGGATGTAATACACAATTGTATTTTTTGCAAGAATTCTTTGCACAGAGTAGTAAGTTAAAGACGAAACTTTTTGTTGGGGGGTAAATATTGTTTTTATTTTTCTTGATTTAAGAATTTTGTCGATTTTGTAAGTGATACCTTTGATTTAAAGAAGAAAAGCTTTCGTATGATGAGGATATGAATCTTTGGGTTGAGATTGAGTGGGAGATTGATGTCTGTGGATGCTCATATTAATATAATTTTTGCGGTAGCAGTAGTGCAGTGATTAGTGATTAATGTAGTAGTATCTGGGGGTTCGTGAGACTTGTATAATCGATAATAATGGAAGTGGTTCAGCCCAGAAGCCTAAAGAGCTTAATATTAAGTTTTAGGGGACTCTTCATGTATAATACGATACAATTTTACCTTAACCGTTTCGGCCCTGACGGCAGCAATTACAAAGCCTAATTTGGCATAGATATCTGTGATATGACTTATTTTATTTCAACATAATTCTAATAGAGGGCGGCTACAGTCCCTATATAAGATGATTTATATGTATTTGAGTCATTTTAAATGTAAACAGGTTTTTTTGGTCTACTTGATCAATGTGATCCTTTTTCACTTGGTAAGTATATGTTTTTTGTTCTAATATCGCTAGTGTTGAAAAAACTTCATGTAGCAGTTAGCATTAGCTAACTAACATTATGAAAAGTTAATTTAAGAATAAATTGTAATTGTTTCTGTATTTGCTTATATTTGGTATGGTCCTATAAAAGGCGTACGCAAATGCCACCAGTAGGTGTTAACGGTTACAAAAATGGATTAAATAGATTAGAATTTATGATAAGATTTTAAACAATGAATTCTTTTCAGATGAGGTTCCTACAATTGTATTTTACTGGAAAGGGAAAATTGAAGTTGATGTGACCCTTGTCCAAGCAGAAGAAGCATTAGCTGCCCTGAATAATGACTGTTCTGATATAGAAGATGATGGAGATCCAGATTATGAAGAGGCTGATATGTCAACATCAGATGAGGATGAAGTAGCATTAGAAAAAGAAGAAATTTCTCAAAAGACTAAAAAAGTAGAAAAACGAAAAAAATTTCTGGAAGACTGGAAAAGTTGTACCTTCAAATGGTATTTTCGATCGATCAAGTGAAAGTCATTTGAGTTATGATGAAAGTGACAGTTCAGAAGACCATTCACCATTTGATTATTTTTCGCGCTATTTTCCACCCGAAATATTCAAGGAGTTATCTGAAAAAACGAATTCTTATTCTACTTACAAGAATGGTAAAAGTCTCATTACTGACAAAAATGAGATACGCCGCCTGGTGCCCTGCATATTATAATGAGAATTATTAATTTTCCGAGGCTAAGACTTTATTGGGCTCCCCTACACAATTCAAGGGACAATTTTCTGTGAAACAATTTATTAGAGGCAAACCAAAGCCTTGGGGCATAAAAGTCTTTAATTTTTGTGATGAATCAGGAATAATGTACCGATCGGTAGTTTATCAAGGCGAAGCTACATTACCTATGTCTATAGAAATGAACCACAGTGCTATAACTTCACTTGAAGCCAGATAATTCGGTATATAAGTTCTACTTTGACCGTCCAGCAGTAATTTAACTTTACAATCAAAGTATGGGCGGCGTGGATAAAAATTATTTCCTTGTATCACTTTATAGAGCATTTATTAGAAGTAAGAAGTGGACTCTACGGGTAATGTTCCACTATTTCAATGTGGCAGGGTGCAACTCATGGTTGGAGTGTAGTCGTGACAATCAAAATAAACCTAAAAATAAGAAAATAGATTTATTGGAATTCACGTTTCACGTTGCAGAAGCTTTAGCTTTCTCTAAAGCTCCACTGAGAACACCGAAAAGAGGTCGTCCTTTAAATGAGTCACCTGGAAGTTCTCCTAGAGATTCCCCTGGAAGTTCCCTTTTAAGTTTGTAAAAGATGAACCTTCCAAACGAATGAAACAGCAACAACTTGTCAGCGAAGTGGGATATGATAAAATTTCTTACTGGCCAATTCCTACAAGAGGTCACGAACAGCGTTGAGATTTTCAAGGATGCAGCAGAACATCACGCACGATGTGTGAAAAGTGTAACGTCTTTCTGTGCTTGTTAAAAGACAGAAATTGTTTCACAAGCTATTATACAAGACGTCAATAAAACATGATATATTTTTATACATGCTTTTTCTGTATTAAAATATTATATATACATATTTTTGTTTATTTATGCCTTAATAACCTCTTGGTGGCTGTTGCCACCAATTTGTAAAATGAAAAGTGGAGGTCAAAAATTTTATAAAAAATATTTTCAGCATTATTTAGATGTCCAATTGTAGAAAATATCAACAGAAACATTTTACCTTTAATTCAGGGCTGAAAGGGTTAACAAAAATTTAACTTACTCAAAATGTCTTGCTGTGGCATCCATTTTCTTACCATAACATTTTTAGACAACCCTTCTATCTCACCGTCCATTTTTAACAGCACCTTATGAGGAACTTCGGCAAAGGCTTCTACTACAGCTTTTTTGAATTCTTTGGTCAGCAAATTGGAATTAACGTTGCTTCCTAGACTAAAATAGATGACACCAGTTTTGCTATCATCCAGAAATTTTTGAAGATCCTTAAACGAAATTTGGTAATTCATATTTGTTTATAATGAAAAGTTAAGAGAAAATATTGATGATAAAATACCGTAACAGGGGGATTAACTTCGAGTAAAATATTATGAATATTAATATGCGGAATGTGTTAGCAAAATTTGTTGTATCTTAAATAAACGTGTCATATATCGTGACAAGAATCACGTAATAAAATATTTACTAAATGCCAAATAGTATCAAATGAAACATACTTACGGTTAATATTAGTATTGGTATGAATAAAAATGGCAATAATAAGTCAAACCAAAGAGAATGTATGGAAGAAGAAGCAAGAATCGAACATTTAGAATACATAGAAGATAATTCACCCAGCAAAGAACAAATCGGGGTAATCATAAAAAATCTGAAAAATAATAAGTAGCCTGGAAGCGATAACATTACAGTAGAGATGATGAAATATGGTGGAAAACTGCTAAATTATTGGATATACAAGACCATAAAGGAGATATGGATAAAAGAACGAATACCACAAGATTAGAAGGAAGCATTATTTGCCACTACTCAAAAAAGGACAAAAAAATGCAGTAATTACAGGGATAGCGTTACAAATACCGATAAAAATCCTACAAAATAAAGATAAGCAAAAAGAAATTGAAAATATAATAGGCGAATATTAGTGAGGATTTAGATAATGGAGAAGCACAATGGGCCAATTATTCGTAATCAGAGAATTACAAGCAGAAAGCTATGAACACAACTTACCAACGATAGCGCTATTCATCGACTTCCAGCAAGCATACGATAGAATAAAAAGGAAGGAATTAAAAGAGACGCTTGAGGAAATGGGGGTTAGCAGAAAGTTGCGTAACATGATAAATCTTACTTAGAATCAAAAACAGAGTCAAGTAACATCATTATCGTCAAATTTATAGTAAACGAAAGATTAAGGCAGGGTGATCCTTTGTCATCATTACTCTTTAACTTATGCCTAGAAAAAATAATGCGAAAAGCGAAAATAAATGGAGAAGGACTCCTATATCATAAAAGACACCAAGTTTTGGCATTTCTATGATGTAGTGTTGCTGGTAAGAGGAAAAAAAAGCTACAGGAGATAGTACAGAGAATAGTAAAAGCAGAGAAGAAAATGGGACTTTACATAAATGAAACTAAAACAAAATATATGCAGTGGACAGATGATCAGTTCAGGGATGGACAAAAGTTTAAAGTAGAACTAGAACAAGGATCATCATACGAATTCGAAATGGTAGAAAGATTTACATACCTAGGTGAAATAATATCACGTAATCCTAACATTAAAGAAGAAATACAAGCTAGAATAATAGCAGGCAATAGAAGTGTACATGCTCTTAGTGGAATGTTGAAAAGCAAGTTTTTATCAAGAAAGGTAAAAATACAGTTATACAAAACAACTATACAACCAATAGTAACATACTGCAGTGAGACATGGACAATGACAAAAAATGAACAAAATTTACTGGAGATATGGGAAAGGAAAATCCCGAGGAAGATATACGGAGTAATAATAAGGGACGATTTATGGATAAGAAAATCAAATGATGAGTTAAAGGAATTATATAATCAACCTAATATAATAGGAGTCATAAAGGTACAGAGATGGCGAGGTCACCTAGAAAGGATGCCGAACACTAGGACTCCAAAAAGAGTACTAAACTACACTACAGCTTCAAAAAAGAGAAAAGGAAGCCCAAAAAATAGACGGAATCAATAGGTAGAAAAAGATATGGAAAAAATTGAAGTAGAAGGCCAGAAAAGCAAAATGAATAACAAGAAGGAATGGAGAAAAATCACATATTGAGCCAGAGAGGATCTCAGTACATAAAGAAAAGTGAAAATGAAGAAACAACAAGCTTTTCAAGCCATAGACCTCTATGGCCTTTAGTGCTATTGTATATATATATGTATATATATATATGATATAAAATATATGTGAATATAGAGACTGTAATTAGTGGGACCGTCTACCATATAGAGATAAAGAACAAAAGTGATAACAGAAGATCAGGCGAAAATGTTTACTAAACTCATGGAACAAGCTGAACTATTAAATTAAAATATAGAATCTCTGCAGCAACAGTAGTCCCATCATCTTAAAGACCATCAACGATCACTTAAAGACGTTCTTAAAAACTTATGTATCAAAAAACAATTTCAACTAATTATAAACTTACACCAGGAAGCTTCTTAGGAGCCTTAATATGCATGCCTCCTCCAATTGGTATGGTGTTTAAGTTTAAAGGTCTTATATTATGGAATAGAGGATGAGAACCAATAAACATAAGACTAATAGTATCCTGCAATTCCTTCAACGAAGGCAAATCCTTTCCAAAGTATTTCTTTACGTGTTCGTGATATGCTGGAAATGCCCTGTTGTAGATATGGTACTTATATATAACAACTTGAAGAAAGCTTAACAGCCTTTCCTTAAAGGTCAAATTTTCAGAATCAGTCACGTCCAAATTGTAGTCTGGGTTAGTAACAGGATGCACTGGATTACCTAAGGAATCGTGGTACTGAAGAGCAGGTTCCATAGAAGCGACAGCGATAACTGGGCACTTAAATCTCCAGCTGAATGCTAACATACTCGGTAATTGAGCTTCCACAATTAAAAGATCAAATTTAACTTCTTTATTAAGTATCATTTCTCTGATTGCCGGTAAGGAAAAATGATAATCCTCACATTCTAAGAATGCTTTACGTAGAACACTAGCTTTCTCCAAAGAACTAAGGCTTTCGTTGGCTATGGCATCTAACACATTATGTTTTTCGTATATCTTGTAACAGAAGCTTGTATCTATTTCCCTTAAATTCTCTATCGAGGCATTTCGTTGCGGATCCGTTGTTATTACCGTAACCTCGTGACCTCTTAGTGCTAGTTCTCGCCATAACGGTTGAAATGGCAAGTGATGAGACCTGGAGGCAGATGGTATGACACTTAAAATTCTAGCACTAGTGGCTAAGTGTATTAAAACTATAACTAACATACAAATTATTCGTGCCATATCGAGGTTGTAACTAATTTATCGACGTGTGATGCTTATGTGTAGGTGGTATCTAATCTTTCGAATAATACTTGAAAATTGAGTACATTTTATTGATTAAATTTTGTTTTTTTATTGATTAAAAAATTACCGTTATGAGTGTAAAGGTTCTTTTTTATTTTGTATTTAAAGTTATGAAAATAGCAAATGGAATAGAAGTTGCGCGTATCTATTTAAAAAACTATCAAAATTTCGAAATTATTCTTTACAGGGATTGGATTGCATCTAATCAAAATTAGATATACACTGTGGATTCATAGACTAGGGAAGTAACGATTTTCCGAAAACACTCTTTGGTACAGGTATCTAACAACTACTTTGAATACATTTGGTAATCTTTTTCAGCCTGTATTCGCCCACTGCTGGACATAGGCTTCTTCCATTTACTTCCATTGATTTCTACTCTTGGCAATTCTCATCCACTGCTTGTCCGCGACTTATTTGATATCATCTGTCCACCTTTTCTGTAGTCTGCCTACTCTTCGCCTGTTCTCTCTTGGTCTTCAGTTTGTTAATCTCTGTGTTAATTTTTTGGGATTATCTCGGGCAACATGTCCGACTCATTGCCACTTGAGCCTTGCTATATGTTCTGCGACATCAGTAATCTTTGTTCTTTCACGCATGTCGATATTTAGAATCCTGTCTCCTCAAACTAATCCCTAGCATGAGCCTCTCCATCGCTCTTTGGGTTGTACTGAGGCTCTAAGCTTTTCTTTGTAAAGGCTATGGTCTCCAGTCCATATGTAGTTACAGGCAAGATACATTTGTCATAAACTCTACGTTTTAGACACATTGGTATATCTTTATTCTTCAAGATGAAGCTTAACTTGCCGAAAGCTACCCAAGACAACTGCATGCGTCCATAACGGTAACTCCCGCTTTGATATTATTGAGATTATTTTGGAAAATTTCTTCAGAATATAAGTTAAACAAAAGTGACGATAAAACACATCCCTGTCTAACTCCTGTACAGATCTTTATTTCTTCTGAGTATTGCCCATCAATTTGAACTATGGCACTTTGGTTCCAATATAATGTTTGCATTATATTTATGATTTTACTGTCCATGCGCTTGATCATAAGTATTCATAGTAGTTTTTCATGTCTTACTTTATCGAAAGCTTTTTCGTAGTCAACAAAGCACAAGTGTAGATCAACGTTTACATCTCGACATCGCTGAATCAATATGTTGATGGCAAATAGTCCTTTTCGAGTACCCATTCCATTTCGGGATCCGAACTGCGTCTCGCTAATATCCTCCTTTAGCATTTCGTATATTCTCTTATGTATTACTTTCAGCATACTTTCAAAGTATGACTCACGTGTTCGATAATCAGAGCACTCTTTTGCTGCTTGTTTTTTAGGGATGGTTATAAATGCTGACTTCAGCCACTCTTGTGGTATTTATTATTGGTTATAAATGTTGCCTTATTGTCCTTAGAGTTTTTGATAGCATATTTGATTTCATCTCTCTAAAGGATTTAATTCTTGTATTTTCTGCATGTTCGTTGTATTTCTTTATACTTCTATCTTTTTCTTTACGTTTCCTTCTTTCTTCTATCTATAATAGTATTTCTTCTGAAGAAGACAAGATGTAACTAAAAAAGATCTTAATAAATCAAATCAACGTTCATCTTAATATTCAATTGTCTGGCCAATTGTTCTTTGTCAAAGCCATCTAATTAAGTAAAAATAATCTTGATAACCAAATTCTTTTTCAGAGAAGAAACTAATAAAAAAATACCAAGGTATGTAAAAAGTCACGTGCTATAAACATCAACTTATAGTATTATAGTAAAACGCAAAGCTTTGTATCTATAGAGATGACAACACATTTCATAATATCTCATTTTAAAAAGACTAATACCAGTTGTCATGTATGTATTATCCTTTTGTTTTGTTAAATAAAAAATATATTACAAAATAGTGTTTATTTTCATTCCTTAAGCCTCATTCTTGGAATGTTGTGTTTATGATTATAGCGATAAATATGTCAGTATAATATGCGTACAACTAACAAAAAAATCCATAAATCCTGGAAATGGATTAAATGGATAAATAATTACATATACGTATACCTACCTATAGAAGCGAGTATATATATATATATATATATATATATATATATATATATATATATATATATATATATATATATATATATATATATATAGAAGTTATTGAAATAACAGACTAACCCCGAATAAATGGAAGTATGTTAGATATTACTTATTTGATAATTTTGATTTAAAATTTTGAATAATCACGTATATTCGATTTTTTAATGTAGATTGGTCCACTTTGCATTTAAAAAATTTTTAGTTAATTGGTTATCCCACAAAATAATACACTCGATATTGCATCAAAGATTTTATTACCCCAGAATGTATATAAAAACATCAGAAGTTAGAATCTCTAATCCTCTTCGTCGTTAAATGGGCCAATTACTTCACATCCGGCTGCTTGAGCTGAAGATCTCAGGTTTTTATAAAATTCATGGTGTATAGGGGGTATTAATTCCATTAACTGAAGAAGGTCCTTTTTAAGCTTCATTAATGGTATTACCATTTGGACACAGAAATGGCAATTCCATTGTATTCTTGGAAACAGATTTTCTTTTATTAAGATCCACCATTTCAAAATAAACACCTTCATTGTTCGAATACTTATACTGAAGAGTATTGGGATAGTCTTTCTAAAACCTTAACCATTGAATTTTAAGCCACTCTAAATTGGTTTTTGATTCAGAAACATTTCTGTTGCAATTGTTCTACGTTCAAGCAATTTCGTAGAAAAAAAATCAATAAAGCAGTGCAGTAAGTAGTAGGAGAGTCTACAGAAGATCCTCGTCGTTTTCAAACATTTACCCGCTACGAACCAACCAACTTCCACGGAAAACTACAGCCGTTCAACCCCAGAAGTCTACGAAAAGTCAGTATTGAAGTGTAGAAATAAATTTATTCGACGAAAGACGATAGATAAAAAGAAAGTGAAATAAAAAAAGAAACCAGTTCCTTCGAAAAGAAATGTACCCAAGCAACATAATTTATTTGTAAGCAAATTTAATCTTTTTTCTAATCGTAATTTATTTGCTTCACAAGCTTCATCTCTTAGAATTAGTACTCTTACAACTATTAGTGAATCGATTATCGAACCTGGTGCTGCTTCTATTTTGCAAAATAACTCAGCTTCTTAATTTTGTTTAAAAACCACGTTAGTTCTTTAAGCAATACTTTAAATAGCCTAGATATACCATCTATAATTATTACTTCCGCTAGTTAATTAAATACTATGGCTGTCGAGTTAATACTTAAGTAATATGTTTATTTTAAAAATCCCCTTTTGTAATCAGCGTATCGTCTCTCCGGCTAAGGGCTTGTGAAAGCAATTAATTTTAATGACTTTCGTCTGAGAATGTAGGGTATTGAATTTCATATAGTATAAGAATATATTCAATTTGTTTAGAGTTAGTTTTTAGTCGAATTTATACCACCGAACCGAAGGAAACTGAATAAAACTTTTAAAGTCACATTTGTGTATTTTAATACGAAAGTAATTTTTGTAATAGAAATTTAATTTTGTATTCTTTCGAACCAGGAGTCTCTTGCGATAATTAATCGTAGGACATTCCAAACGTAACATTTGGCGACCGTGACAGGACTTATATACGGGTGTGCTTAAAAGTTAGTTATTTTCGTTTATTTTAGTGCAAACTTTTTTCCGGCGAATAATTTTGTTTTTGTCGTGAGGCTCGGCCAAAGTTAACCTTTTTAAGCGAAAAAATGGAATCAGTTAAAAAACGCAGAACGGTTCTTCGTAGTGCATTTACGAAAGTTGCTACTGTTTTGGACAGTTTGTTAGCTCAACCGGTGGACATTCGACCCTGGCAGAATATTAGCGTACAGTGGGAACTTTTACAAGTAAAGTACAATGAGCTTTGTGAAGTGGAAAGTGCGGTACTTGAAAGTATGTTGGAAGAAGCTTCCGAAGAAGAATTAATCAGTGAGATGGAGACAAAAGATAAATATAGTGCAAGGTACTTTGAACTTAAGTACAAATGTGATGACAGACCAGGTTCAGTATGTTCAGAGTCATCAAGTATAAAAGGTAAGCGCAAATTTAAATTACCTCCAATCGAATTCAAGAAATTTAATGGAGACTTGAAAGATTGGCTTCCTTTTTGGTCACAGTTCAAAGTAGTGCATGACGATCCATCAATTGATTTGACTGATAAGATAGCTTATTTGAGACAAGCCACTGTAGAGTCTAGTAAGGCCAGACGATTAGTGGAGAGTTTTCCTGCAGTAGCCGACAATTACTCAAAAATTATCCAGAGTTTGCAGTCTAGGTTTGGCAGAGAGGATCTCCAGATTGAAGTTTATATTAGAGAGCTCTTAAAGTTAATTTTGAGTCGAGTTTCTAGTAGTTCTTGTAATATTTCTGCTCTTTATGATATGATTGAAAGTCAACTTCGTTCACTTGAGACCTTAGGCATAACTGCTGACAAGTATGCGGCGATATTGTATCCTCTTATCGAGTCATGTTTGCCAGAAGATATGATTCGACTATGGCATAGATCTTCACAGTTTTTAAGGCCTTATGTTTCCGGGTCCATGGAAAATATCGCAGAAACGGCAGAGGTTACAACTTTAGAAACAAGATTGGATGGGCTAATGAGCTTTTTACAAAGTGAAGTTCAAAATGAACAAAAAATTGATTTAGCAACGGAAGGTTTTGGTTTACCGACTGAAAATAAATATAAATTTAATAACCTCGTTGCCAAGAAAACTGTAAAATTACATAAGCAAGGAACTGATCAGCCCTTAGCGACCGCTGCTGGGTTAGTAAACTATGAGGTTTACAGGTGTGTATTTTGTGAAGCGCAGCATGACAGTACAAATTGTTTTAAAGCACAAAAATTTACTATGGAGCAGAAACGTCGAACATTGTCAGAAAAGAAAGCATGTT